ACTCCTCCCAGTCAGGTTAGAATTCCATGGTTCTGCTGATATTGAAATGACATTACAGTAGAATGGGACTTCAGAGATCATGGAGTCCAACTCTTTCCTTTTCTTGTATGGTTTTTTCCCTTTCATTTTACAAAGGAGGAAACTGAGGCCCAGAGGAAGGAGGGGACTTGGTTAAAATCACAAAGATAGTAAGTATCCAAGACAGAATTTGAACCCTGATCTTCTGATCACAGAATCCAGTGTTGTTTTTTTTTTTTTACCAGTGCACTGCCCTCCCTCTCTGTGCAATATTACAGTCATCCTTTTAAGTCCAAAATGGGCAAGAAATGTGGACATTACCATCCTCAACATGCAAGATACCTTTAGCTGAAGTATGTCTTGTGAGCTTTCCAAGAATGTGGCCAATTTTCTAGTATTAGAATATTAGGGGACAGCCTGGCTCAGTGACGAGAGCCTTGGTTCTGGGGTCAGAGAACTCAGCCCCACTGCCTTGTATCAGTTACTTCTCCTTTTTGGCCTCAGGTGTTAAACCTCTGGGCATCTTCCATTTACATGCCAGTCACCCTGCATATGAAGACGAAAAAGAAATAGTGTCTGCCCTCAAGGAGCTTATAAATTTGTCTGTACATCTCTTGCACCGTGGCCATGTCCACATATGTATAATCATTATCGGTGGCCATGCACTTACCTCTGGACTGGATAGTAAGGACTTTGATTTATCTTTGTATCTTCTCTGGTGGCCAGGCCACTGATCACATGCAGTGGATGACTGACCTGTGCTGGGATGAATAGAATTATCTCTGGTACAATAAGGACTTAATAGCTACCATTCAAGAAGGCTAGCAATATCCCATCTATGATGCTAGCCAGCTAATCAGTTTCCTCATTTGTAAAATGAGATGGTTATATTGGATGACTCTCCTTTAGCATGCTAAATCTATGAAATTCAAGCTATTTAATATTGTCAATTTATGTGATGTGCTATGAGTGGTAGGTCAGGGGCAGTAGTGGAGGAGGGCATGAGTCTCCAGCCATTCTGTCAAACATGGCAGAGCCAACCTTATGTTTTGTGAACCTGGTAATCATGGTAGGATGGCTGGATAGGATGGACACAGTTTTTTTTTTCCTTTTCAATCAGTCTTACTGTTGTCCAGAACCTCGAGATAGAAACCGATTGACTGGTAAGGCACAAATAGCAAGAAAGGAGATGGTCAGCTGGCCATTTTCAATTTGCTAAGTCATTTGATAATGAACAACTAACAATGATATAAGGTCTTAACAAAGAGGGCAAAGCCCTCCACACATATTGTCTCACTTGATCCTCAAGACAACCCAGGGATGTAGGGGCTGTTATTATCTCTATTCTATAGATGAGGAAACTGAGGCAAACTGACATTAAGCAACTTGCCCAGGGTCACACAGCTAATAAGTGTTTAAAGTAGGATTTGAATTCAGGTCTTCCTCACTCCCAGTCCAATGCTCTTATCCATTGTGAGGTGGCATACTTTACTGATCATTTTGACTTTGCAGAGTTGGCTCCAGGTGAAGCAGGAAGCTTTTGCCTTCAGTGACCTCTTGCTGTTGCCCTTCTTCACCTTTACATTGGCTCCTATAGTGCTTTTGTTATTAAGTGTGGATTCTTCAGCGACTGGAGGGGGAAGAAATCTGATCGGAAAGAATTAGGAACTTAATACTTTAACCTTCCTAGGAGTGGATTCATAGGATTGGCTAGTTGGAGCTGGAAGGAACCTTAGAGGTCATTAAGCCCATTCCCCTTCATTTTACAAACGAAGGAACTACAGCCCAGAGGGAAGTTAACACCAAGAAGTGCATAGCTAATGGTGGAACTAGAGGGAGTGGCTGGGTGACATTTTTTGTGTAAGGGACCTTTACTGGGGATGGTGCATGTAGCTGCACTAATAGGTAAGGCCAGTCCTGACTTTAGGTTTGGAAGAGTTGCAAGACTGGGAATATAAAGGCTATGTCATCATGTTCAGGAAAATGTGTTTGGAGTGTTTGAGTTGTGCAGTGCTCTGGTTTCAAAGACACTTGTGGTTGATACACTGAGCCACCTTTTGGAGAGTTGAGATTCCTCTGTCCTGGTGCTTTTTGAGTTGGATGAGTTGGGTTCAAGGACCAGTTGAGAGATTTACTGGCAGTCACTGCCCAAAGCAACCCAGCATGGCCAGAAATGAGCATTCCCAAGAGGAAGGACCCATGGCCTTAGGTATTTGGCTTAACCTTCCCTAGTAGACTACTATCTGTTCCCTGAACTTGCTTCTATGGATTCCTATAAGCTCTTTCATGCCTGAAATTCACTTTCCATCCCCCTCCACCTCTCTGGCAGCTAGGCTGATCAAACATTGAACCTAGAGTCAGGAAGACCTGAGTTCAAATCCTGCCTCAGACACTTAGTAGCTGTATGACTGAGCAAGTCACTTATCCTTTGTCTGCTTCAGTTTCCTCATTTGTAAAATGGAGGTGATAATAGCACCTACTTCCCAGGGTTGCTGTAAGGATCACATGAAATAGTATTTGTAAAATGGTTTCCAAAGTTTAGATCACCATATCAATGTGAGCTATAACTCTCAGGACCCTCTATTTCCTTCCAGGTTCAGTTGAGGTTCCACTCCCTTAGTGAAGTTCTCCATGATTCTCTCTCCCTCCTTAATGCACTCTGCTTTGTCTAGCTGGCAATGATCTTGGAGGTCAGCTAGTCCAAGCACCTAATTCTACAGAGGCAGAAAACAAGGCCCAGAGGGACAAAGTGATGTCCAAGGCCACACGACTAGTGAGTAACAGGGGCAGGGTCTGCACTCATTTCCTCTGGTTTCCAATGGGGCTCTTTGCTCTACTCCTGCTGCAGTAGAATTTTGGTTCCTTGAGGGTAAGTACTGGTTCATTTTGGGCTCTGTGTCCCCAGGGCTTAGAATAGTGCCTGGCACTTAGTAGGGCTTAATAAACTTGTAGTTGAATTGAGTTGAGTTAGATTGCCTCACTGCCATTCAAAGTAAAGCTGTCACTCCTCCACAACATTCAACCACAGCTCCCCCAATCTTTGCCCAGGTGGTCTCCCTGAAGTCCTCAGTTTCCCCCAGATTGTTGATCTGTTTGTACATTGTCTCCCCATTAGACTGTAAGCTCCCTGAAGGCAGGGGTTTCATTTGTCTCTGTATCCCCCAGTGCCTTAGCTTTAGAGGAAGCTGAGCTATGAGACCTAGCACAAAGCGTGGCACATAGAGGGAACTTAGTAAATGTCTGCTTCCTTTCTTCCTTTCCTGCTCAAAGAACTTCCCCATTGCCTCTGGGATCAAATACAAACTCTCCACACTGGTTTCCTTTTCCCTTTAAAGACATCCTTACATTCTTCTCACTATGTGACTCCCTGTAAAAGAAACGTAAGATCTCACAGACACGGCAACATGCCTTACATTTAACGAAAATAAAAACAAATTTGCTTTGACCAGATGACTACAGCTCTGCCAAGCTGACCAGTGGGTCTTCCCTGAACTCAGCATTTGACGTCTAGCCTCCATGTCTTTGCACAGACTGTCTCTATGCCTAGAATGCACTTACTCTCCCCCCTTCCAGCCCTTAAAAAACCTACCTTCCTTCAATTCATCCATAGGCATTTATTAGGCACCTCCTATGTGCCAGGCACTGGTCAAGGTTCTAGGGCTATGCATACAAAACATGAGGCTCTGCCCTCTAGCAACTTCTGAAAGTTCCTTGAGCAAGAACTTTGGGCTGAATTATCTTTCTCTCCATCTCCTCCACACCCTGCAGATTGGCTGACCCCTCAATGGAGTGCATTGAGCACTAGGCTTGAAGTAGTGAGGACCTGTGCTCAAATCAATTGTCTTAGAGCCTCTTGGGGATCTGACAGAGTAAGCATTTATTAAATGCTTGTTGAATTGAAGTGGATTCAGGTTCTCCCTCCATTTTTGGCTAAGCATGAACCCAGGCCTGCCATTGACCAGAATCCAGTGTTAGTGGGACAGCTGGGCTATTTGGCCTCCTTTATCTGGGGCCCCTGTTCAACCTTTTGCTATGATCTGTATCTTAGATAAACAAAGACAGACCAGAAAGAATCATCAAGATGTGAAAAAAGGGCAAAAGTGATGAAATTGTGGCTAAGGAGAGCTCCAGGTGCCTAGTGGGATGGGGAAAGGGCAGGACTGGAAAGCAGGAGGTCTGGCTCCAACACTGAATTAGTGTGTCTGTGTGCCTCAGTTTCCTCTTCTGTAAAATGGTCAGAGTAATAGCATTGACCTCACAGGGTGGCTGTGAGAATCACAGGCAATAATGTACATACTCTACTCTGCTAACCTCAGAGGGCCATGTAAATGGCAGAGATTATTATTGTTCAGAACTCTAGGGAAGGGCTAGGATTTCATGAATCACTTCAGCCTCAAAGGTAGATTCAGAGTCTGATGAAGGCAGCCTGACAATTTCAAGTCCGAGGCCAGTAAGCCAAACTCTGTCCCTTATTATCAGCTCCCCTACCCTTTTTTTTTCAATGTGAGCCCTCCCCGCCCCAAGTGTGTGTGTAGAAGCCATCTTGTATAGACCTAGACATATAGTCAGACATGTTGTCTGACCTCATTAGAATATAAGCTCCTTGAGGCTAGGGACTGTTTTCTTTGCATCCTCAGAACTCAGCCCAGTGCCTAGCATATAATAACAACAATAACAACGACAATAACAACAACAACAACGACAAACGGTTGTCGATGAATCAATTGCTGTTCCCTTCCTCGTGGAAATGCCCATCTCTAGCCATGCTAGGATGCTTTGGGTAGTGACAGCCTTAACAAATTGGGGGGTCACTTATTCTGGGCTGTCAGCCCATCTTGAAGCTCCTGACCACTCCAGGGCTGTGGTGCCTCATGGGCTATGCCCCCTCATGGGCTGTTGACCATGGGAAAGCAAGAGCTTGGAAATGCGGGGGATTTAACAGTGAACTCCTCAGCCTCGGTGACCCCGATCCCTCTGACCATTCAGAGCAACGAGCCTTCTGGCTCCAGCAGGAGATAATGCTGCAGAGGGTCTGGTACGGGCAGCCGGGGAATGCAGGACCAGCACTCGCTGCCAAGGCGCTTGCGGATGATACAGCGGCACAGATGCTGCAGACACCTCGGGGTGCGAGATAGCATGAAGAGAGACTGGTAAAAAGGCTGATACATCTGGAAAGCAGAGAAGAGTCACGGGTCAGGGCGTGTTGATGTTCTGGTCGGGGAGGGAGGTTTCTAAGCTATAATTACATGATCCTCAGTAGTATGCTTCTCATACTGGCTCCAGAGCTCCTCATTCCCTCATCATCTGCCTTCCCACCCTGGAGATGCCTCTGCCCTGAGGGTCGTTCCCCTGAGCGGGAGACCCAGACACAGCTGCCATTTCCTGTGGGGTCCCAGCCTTGCTCACTTCACTCTTAACTCACCTCCCTTTCCAGATTTCCTCTCTACCTCATCGGCAGCGGCCTTACCCCTATGCCTTTTCCAGCCCCACTCCCCTTTCTGTGTTGTCTTCCCTCAGCAGACTTAAGCTTCTTAAAGGCAAAGACTCTTACTTGTCAGCGCTCCAGTGTTTCGCACAGTGTCTGGTGCATAGTAAGTACTTAATAATTCTTCATTTATTCATCTAAAGGGTGTATGGTATTCCTTAACCAAAAGAAACATGCTATTTTATACATGCCTCCCTCTACAGAAATAGCATATGTGATGTTCGAAAATTAATTGGAATCATAAAATTTTCAAGATAGGACTCAAACCTCAGTCTCAGTCTCAGACTCCCAGTCCAGAAGGCTTTCAAAACACTCCCTGCAAGGGCCCCCCAAAAGAAGTCCTTTATGGTGATAGTGATGAAAGACAGCATGGTATATTTGATAGAGGATTGACCTTAGAATCATAGAGACCTGGGTGTAAGTCCTGCTTCTAACACCTGTTTTTTTTTAAATAACTAATTTTTTTATTTTTGTTTTCAACATTCATTGCCATAAGATTTTGAGTTTTGAATTTTCTCCCCCATCCTCTCCTCCCCCCTCCCCAAGAAGGCATGTAATCTGATATAGACTCTACTTATACATTCATATGAAACGTATTTTCACATTAGTCATGTTGTAAAGAGGAATTAGAACTAATAGAAGGAACCATGAGAATGAAGCAATAAAACAAAACAACAAAGGAATAGGGGAGCAAATAGTATGTTTCCATTTGCATTCAGACTCCATAGTTCTTTCTCTCGATGTGGATGGCGTTTTTCGTCATGAGTCTTTTGGAGTTGTCTTAGATCCTTTCATTGATGAGAAGAGCCAAGTTTATCAAGGTCAGTCATCGAACAATGTGGCTGTTACTGTGAATAATGTTTTCCTGCTTCTGCTCATTTCACTTTGCATCAGTCCATACAAGTCTTTCCAGGTTTTTCTGAAGTCTGCCTGCTCATCATTTCTTATAGCGCAATAATATTCCATTACATTCATAAACCACAATTTGTTCAGCCATTCCTCAATTGATGGGCATCTTGTCAATTTCTTTCCATCCCAGAAAGAGCTACTATAAATATTTTTGTACGTGTGGTTTCCTGTTTTTTATGATCTCTTTGGGATACAGACCTAGAAGTGGTATTGCTGGGTCACAGGGTATGCACGATATTATAGCCCTTTGGGCATAGTTCCAAATTGCTCTTCAGAATGTTTGGATCAGTTCACAACTCCACCAACAATGCATTAATGTTCCAATTTTCCCACATCTTCTGCAACATTTATCATTTCCTGTTTTGTCATGTTAGCCAATCTGATAGGTGTGATGTGGTACCTCAGAGTCATTTTGATTTGCATGTCTCTAATAAGTAGTGATTTAAAGCATTTTTATATGACTATAGATAGCTTTAATTTCTTCCTCTGAAAACTGCCTGTTCATATTCTTTGACCATTTATCAATTGGGAAATGACTTGTATTCTTATAAATTTGACTCCGTTCTCTATATATTTTAGGAATGAAGCCTTTATCAGAGACATTGGCTGTAAAAATTGTTTCCCAGCTTTCTGCTTCCCCTTAATCTTGATCGCATTGGCTTTGTGCAAAACCTTTTTAATTTAATGTAATCAAAGTCATCCATTTCACATTTTGACACCTGTCTTGAGATGGAAGTGTGGGGGTCAATTACCTGGCTTCATTTAGCTCTGATACCTTTATCAGGTGAGAGCATATCTTGGTTAGCCACAATTGAGAACAATGTGTGAACAAGTCTTGGGCACTTCCTTTGAACCAATCAATAAATCAAAGACATTTGAATTAAATGCAATAGAAAGCCTATTTGGATTGATTAGAGTATGTGTTACATATGTTCTGGTTGTGTGACCTTAGGCAAATCATTTATCTTCCCAGTGATCCAGACACCCCTTTAAGACTATAAGTTACAAAGGAGGTGCTGACCTTCGCTGGTAGTAGGAGTTTCCTCACCTGGGAAGTTTTCTATACCAATGAGATCACAGGTGTGGTCTAAAATGTTGGTAGGAGGGAATGTAAAATTAGTGATATTGACATAATGTTGAAAATGGTATTTGGGGGGACAGCTAGGTGGCATAGTGGATAGAGCACTGGTCCTGGATTCAGGAGGACCTGAGTTTAAATCCAGCCTCAGACACAACACTTACTAGCTGTGTAACCCTAGGCAAGTCATTTAACCCCATTGCCTAGCCAAAAAAAAAAAATGGTATTTGGATTTCTCAGAAAACCTGGGCGTAAATCTTAGCTCCAATATTGACTAGCTGTGTTGCCCTAGACAAGTCATTTATCCTCCTTGACTCTTATCTGTGAAATGGAGATCACCAAATTTTAGAATTAGAAGGGACTTTGTTGGCCTTGTAATCCTATTCTGAGCTGAAAAAAAAAAAGGAATTTTACATACTTGTTAAATAGTCATCTAGCCTCGGACTGAAAATTTCTAAAGAAGAGGGACCCATTACCTACTGAGGCAGCCTGTGACAGTTTGGGATGGCTATGATTGATGGTACTTTGTCCTCATATCAAGTCTAAATATTCTTCTTTGTGGATTTGGCTCTAATGCTCTGGGTATTTTCTTCCAGGGCCAAGGTGAACACATCTCATGTCTCTTCTACATGACAGTCATTGAGATATCTGAAGATAATTGACTTGTTTCCCCTGACTTCTCCAGGATAAACAATCCCAGATCCCAACCATTGTTCATACAGCATCAAGGTCCTTCCTCATCCAGGTTGCCCTCCTCTGGACATCCCCCAGCTCATTCATGATCTTCCTAAACTGGGGTGCCCAGAAATGAACACAGTAAATAGGATAATACCTGTTTGATTTATTCCAGTTCCTATAGGAATTCCATATAGGGATGACATAATGCACTCCAAAATTTTGTAGATGAAGAAACTGAGGGTCAGAGAGAATGAAGGTAACAATAGCATCTATTTCTTAGGGCTGTTATCAGGATGAAATGAGATGATCTGTGTAAAGCCCTTTGCAAAGTACTTTGCAAGTACTATGTAAAATTTAATTGTAGTAGTAGCAGTAGTAGTAGTAGTAGTACTAGTGGTGGTGGTGGTGGCAATAGTGGTAGTAGTAGTAATAGTAGTAGTAGTAGTCATTGTAGTAGTAGTAGTAGTACTAGTGGTGGTGGTGGTGGTGGTAATAGTGGTAGTAGTAGTAATAGTAGTAGTAGTAGTAATTGTATGAGGAGTAGTAGTAGTAGTAGTAGTTCTTGTTGTTATTAACCTCCTGTATACATACTCTTTCTTTAAGGAGAAGAAGCCAGGAGAGAAGTTCTAGGTAAAAATAAGACTATCTTTCAGTTCTTTCCCCCTGGCATCTAAAAGATAGTTGGTTCTAAATTTACTGTGATAGAATTGATCTACCAAATTCCAATTTGACCTCAGGGGAAAAGAATTCCCTGAGGAGTTTTTTTTTTTACCTTAGACGGGAATACTTGGGGGGTGGGAAGGAAACCTCTTTCTTACCTGAAACACTTCCTCAGGAATTACTTCTCTCCATTTTTCAGAGACCCGGAGCTTTGAGTAGGAGTTGAAAAGGATCCCAATAATTTCTGGAGTGGATGCACAAGACTTCAGGACCTGGTTTTTGTAAGAATTCAAGAATATGACAGCTATTTTGTGGAGACATTTTGGGGTGAGCTGGGAGGGGGAGTGTTCAATGGAAAGGAAGGACAGAGACCCTTCATGACAAAGTCTGTCCTGCTATTCTGAAGGAAAATATGGAGATATGTGCAATAGGCAAAAGTAAACATCAGTGGCTTCCCCATCGCTTGGATAGTCAACCTCAAGGAGCAGTCTTTACTGGTTCTAGGTCAGGTTAGCAAGAGGTCTCTAGTGGAGTGCCTCAGGGATCTGTGCTCTCTGACATTTTTAAACCATGACTTGGATGAAAGCATCCAAAAACATGCCTATTAAATTGGCAAGGGACACAAAGGTGGGAGGGAGAGGGTCAGGATGTTGGGGTCAGGATCCAAAAAACCTTGGAAAATTAGAGATCATTGAGTTAAATCAGAAATGAAATTAAATAAGGGTGAATGTAACCTCTTGGAAAGGCAGTGATACATAATAGATGGAATAGAACTCTGGCCTTGGAGTCAGGAGGGACTGAATTCAGATCTGGCCTCAGACACTTGACACTAACTGTGTGACCCTGAGAAATCACTTAACCCTGATTGCCTCACCAAAAAGCAGAAAAAAAAGATTCATTCATAATAGGTGGAAAGATGACTCTAGAGCTGGTAAGACCTGGCTTTAAGTTTAGCCTGGGACGTATATTAATTGTTTGACCCTGGGCAAATGTTTGGACCTGTCAGTACCACCAGGCAACTTTCTAGATCATACATTACAATGAAGGGTCTGATTTTTTTTTTTTTTTGGTAGAGGACATTATCTTACCATGAGCTCTCACAGGTCAGGTAAATTGCAGGTTGGGTAAAAGAAAAAGGAAAAGTCTTACACTTAGACTAAAACCCTGAACTTTACAAGTACAATATGGGGGAAGCCTGGTTAGGAAATAGTCTGAAAAAGATCAGAGAGTCTTAATGGACTGCAAGCTCAATATGAGCCAAAAGCGTGACATGGAAATGTGCATGTGAGCTATGGGAGGGACCTAGTGGAATTTTAAGCTGCATGGAAAGAGGCAGAAGTCACCTCCAAAAATAAAGAGGTGAGATTGCTGCTGTTCAGTTGTTTCACTCATGCCCAACTCTCTGTTTGGGGTTTTCTTGGCAAAGATACTGAAATGGTTTCCTTCTCCAGATCATTTTGCAGATGAGGAAACTGAGGCAAATAGGGGTAACTACTTGCCCCGGGTCACACAGCTAGCAAGTGTCTGAGGCCGGATTTGATCTCAGGGAGAGGAGTCTTCCTGACTCCAGGGCTGCTGCTCTCTGGACTATGGCGCCAGCTAGTGGCCACAAGGAGAAGATGATCCCACTCAGCATTTTTGGAGTCTGGGTGCCATGGTTTAAGGAGCTGGAGAACATCCAGAAAGCAGCAAGGGTGGTAAAGGGCCTTAAATTTTGTTCATATGACCATTAGTAATGGAACTGGGAATAATGATTGTGCAGAAGAGAAGACTGTGAGGAAATCCAGTTCTTTTCTCCAAGTGTTTGGAGGGCTGTGTGTGCACAGAGGGTTAGCTTGGTTCTCCTTGACCCCAGTGGGTGAAGTTAGGTGTGCTGGCTGCAAGCTGCAAAGACGTAAATTGAGGCTAAGCGTCAGGGAGAGCTTCCTAACGATGAGAGCTGGCCCAGCTGGTGATGATGCCCCCTTTCTGGAGACTTCCAACAAGAGGCTGGATGGCCATTTTTGTTAGGGTGCTGCCTGTATGTCTGGGGGGGGGCAGGGTTGTGGGTGGGAAGAGAGGCAGTGGCCTCTTCCACTCCAAAAGCTCCCTTCCACCCCAAAGATTCTGTGAAATGGAAAGTAACTGGTCATTCCCACCCACTTCCACCCGCAAATGCAGCTGCCACACAAAGTGCTCAGCAGGAACCCGATGGTGTGCTGGATGCTGAGGAGGACCCTGTGACAGCCAACATCCCCGAGAGTCACATAGAGGGAAGGAGAGAGCTATTGGCTAGAGGGAGGAAGTGGATATGGCTCTGGACTCAGTTTTCCAAAATTTCAGAAAGGACTCACAGTCCCCCTGCATTTTTCTCCTGGTTTAGTGTGGAGAAGCAAGGTCTTTGCCTCCCTGTTTGGTTCTTCCCTTTGGAGCCAAACAGAACAAGGTAATCCATCTTTTCTATGAGACATGATGAGAGAGAGAGAGAGAGAGAGAGAGAGAGAGAGAGAGAGAGAGAGAGAAGAGGAGAGGAGAGGAGAGGAGAGGAGAGGAGAGGAGAGGAGAGGAGAGAGGAGAGACTGATTTACACTTAGAAGGGACCACAACATTTTACAGATGAAGAAACTGAGGTCCAGAGGGACTGTCACTTGGCCAAGGTCATGCAGATAATCAGTGGTAGAGGCAGGATTCATATCCTGGAGTCATAGAATTAGAATTGAAGGAACTTAGAAATCATCTTGTCCAATCACCTTGTTTTACAGATGAGGAAACTGAGGAGCACAGAGGTGAAGTGACTTTCCCAAGGATACACAAATCATTAGGATCATAGATCTACAACCAGATTTTATCTGGTCTAATCCCATCATTTTACAAATGAGGAAATGGGCCCAGGAAGGTGAGACTTTTGTATTTGCCTAATGTCACACGGGTCATAAAAATCAGAGCCAGGATTTGAACCCACATTCTTTGCTCCCAAATCCTCTTCTTTTTGCACTATGCTATACTACTGAAAGAGCACAAGCGCTTTCAGCACACTCTGCATTTGGGCCCCTGGGACAAAGCTGCAGTTACTCCACCCTAGTTATTGGTGTTACAATTTGTCTGGTATTCCAGTTGGCTTTAACCTCCCAGGCACTGTTCCTTGAAAAGGGGACACCTCTAGGGCCCCCCAGAGGCTGTCCACCCACTGACTCAGTAAAAAGCTGAATGGCTCTCAAAGCCTTCACATAAAACAGAGCATCACTTCCTTCTCTTCTCTCCCCTTCTCCCTCCCTCACCCCATGGTTGCCTTCCTCAGTGACAAGAAATCCATGGAGAGTAGAAGCCCTCCCTCCTCTCCCCTCCCTGGGTCTGTAGACTGTGACCAAGTCTTGTTGTCTGTCTTCAAGAATTCATTTTCTGTCTCTTCTCTGTTCCACCTCTCTGGGGCTCCCTGGTCCACCTGCCCCCTCCCATCCCCAGTCTGAAGCATCCCCCCAACCCTGGCTTTGCTAGGCAGCTGACTGGCTTCCTTCATTGCTTTCAGGCCAACACGGTCTAAACCTTTCTGCTGCCACCTTTCCCTCCTCTTCCTCCTCCTTCTCTCTCTCTCTTCTCCTCTCTCCCTTCTCCTCCTCTTCCTCTCCCTCCTCTGCTTCCTCCTCACTATCTACTGGGGAGCTGAGCTGCTGTGGCCACATTCTCCTGACATGCTGATGTCATTAGTGTTCACACACACACTCTCCCCGGCTAATGAGGCGGCAGAAAGAAAATTGAGGGGGGAAATCACACAGGCACATTGCTTTAGATGTAGATGGAGGGATCAAATGACAACAAGGAAATCAGGGCTAAGGCATTTATGAGTTTCCCAGCTCCCTCTCCAAGGGAGGGCAAAGCACAGTCCTTGGACTGACAGCCTGCTTTTAACCATTCTAGCCCTTGCTTATTTTTGAGTACTGCTTCTGCAGAGCCATAACCAGGGTGGGGTAACTGGAGCTTTGCCTCAGGGTGCCAAAATTTGCAGGGTGCTAATAACACTTATGTTCCTTCAGCAGGCAGAAACAACTAAGTCCAGAACCCAATTAGGAAGATTTTTCAGAAAATCATCAACACAACGAGATGCCAATGAATGACTTCCTCTACCAAGGCAGATTGGCTCCTTTCCTTCCGATTACATACATCTTTGAGGAGAGTTGCTTGAGCCATTGAGACGGTAAGCGACTTAGCCACCAGGGTCACTCGGTCAGTATGTGTCAGAGATGGGATTTGAAGTCATACCTTTGGGACCCCAGGTCAGCTCTCTATTCATTGCCTCTCAGTTAGGTGGAATAATAAATACAATAGGAAGCACCTAGGACGGTACTGTTCTTCTCTGTGGTAGCTGTGTGTCCCCCCCCCCCCCGCCATGTCAGTCTTCTTCTGCATCAGGCTGTCCAGTGTCTGGATGCCTTGGCACTCCCCCTCCTTTCGGCACAAGATGCTGCTGCCCACTAGGTCTGTGGTCTTCCCCCACCCTAAGCTCCATTGGTCTTGAAAAGTTGGTGTGAGTCCACCTGTCATGTCTTCCTGCCCCAGGCATCAGAATGACCAGCTCTAACTCTGGCTGACCTAATTCCATCCCACCAGAGAACCCTTTGAAATTCAAATCAAGCTTATAAATGTGAACATGGAAGGGACTTCAGAGGCCAATCGCCTTCATTTTACGGTGAGGTGACTGAGCCCACAGTAGAGAAAGCCTTCACAGAGCTTACAAGGTGGAAGATAACAGGGGCAGGATTCGAACCTAGGGCATCTGACTTCAGGGCCCGCATTCTTCCCACTCCACATTCCTTCTCTAAAATATAAGTGTGTCATTTTCAGGGTCCAGAGATGAACTGGGATATGGAAGCCTTGTATCATGTAAAGAACCCTATACTTAGAGTCTCACCTCTGATATTCACTAGCTGTGTGACTCTGGGCAAGTCACTTAATCTCTCTGTGACTCAGCTGCCTCACTTGAGAAGCAGGAGCAGTCATAACACCTACCTCATAGTGTTATTGTGAGGCTCAGAGAGAATATGCATAAGATACGATGCACATAGGTAAATGCCAGTTATGATGATTATTTTTTTTCTTTTTTTTTCTTTGGCTAGGCAATGGGGTTAAGTGACTTGCCCAGGGTCACACAGCTAGTGCATGTTATGTGTCTGAGGTTGGATTTGAACTCAGGTCCTCCTGACTCCAGGGCCTGTGCTCTATCCGCTGTGCCACTTAGCTGCCCCATGATGATTCTTAATGAGAGTCCCAAGATGTGGATTTTAGTCCTGACTCTGTCTCTCTGTGACCTGAGGTATGTTGCTTAGCTTCTCTCTGGGTTTGAGTTTCATTCAAAAGCTGAGAGCCACATTAGATCATTGTTTCAAGCCTCTTCCCTCCCCTGGCATTGTCTACATTCTCATGAGCCTGTGATGAGACCTTCATCTTGGACAAAGATGGGGCCAGACTGGATGGAAGAGATTCCACAGTCTTTAGCAAAATCAAAACGCCATGAGCTTCCTGTGTGACTTTAGGCCAGCCATACGTCCTCTCTGGGCCTCACTTTTTCCATTTGAAAAATGACAGTTAAAGTAGGTGATCTCCCCGGTCACTTCTAACTCTAACTTTCTATGGTTGGACAAGAATTCAATTAATTAAGCATCCAGCAGACTCCTAGAATTGATGTGCTCTCATAGCAAGGGTTCATGACCATAAAGTCAAGTCTTCCTGAAGCAGGGGTTCTTAACTTGAGGTTCACATACTCATTTAAAAATATTCTAATAACCATATTTCAGTATGGTTGGTTTTTTCTGTAGTCCCATCTATTGTATTCTATGCATTTAAAAACATTATTCTGAGAAAGACTTCACCAGACTGCCTGCCAAGTGGGTCCAGGACACACGAAAGGTCAGAAATCTCTTTCCTAAATGGAAGGAGGGAGAAGACAGTAAAACTGGGAGTGGGGGTATCTGTCCATGGCCTCCCAGGTCAGCGTTCCCACTCTTCTGTTGACTTCCTGCAGTGCGGAGCCAGCACTTTGCCTTCTCTCCTTCTACCTCCTTGGAGGGGGTTTCCTGTTGGTCCTATAGCACCCTGTAGTCTACCTGATTTCCTAACTGGAAAATTGGAAAATGGAAACCAAACTGTCCACTTCCAAAGGGCATCTTTGGTCTCCTGGACCTGAGTGCAACTGCCCTGTTAGCCCTGGACTGGGAATGATCAGAGTCACAGAGGCAGAAAAGCCTGGCATGGCCTGCTCACCTACTTCTGGGCCAGTGACACAGCTCGGCCTCCCGACACTTGAGCCCGTGAACCGTCCTGTCTGCTGTTTCCTATCCTCCTGCCTTTGTCTCAGAGCCACAAGCCCACAATCTGCCACATCGTGTCTGGGAAACCTTTGGTCTCAGGAATTCTGACTACCGACGAATGACTCGTCGACTCTATTTCAGGTATAGCTATTGGCCACGGACAGCGTGTTCCCTGTGCACATCGATGGTCCATGGAGCCACCTTTGTGGGGTGGGGAGGCTCTGTTCAGCCGCTGGGTTAGCTGAGCCTTGGGCGATTTTCCCTCTGTGGGGAAATCCTGTCATTCTACCTGTGACCAAGCCAAAGCTGGTGCTGCTTTTGGTTGTCAAGGAGTTATTTTGTATTGGTGGTTGGGGGGCCAAGCCTGAGGATACCAGGCACTGTTTGCTACCTGTCAGGGTCTCCGTGAGGCATAGGGCCCTGCTCCAGGTCTGGACTAGACTCCAGAGGCTATTTTGTCCAATCCTTTCATTTTACATATGGAGAAACTGAGGCCCAGAGATGTTAAGTGACTTGACCAGGGTCAGGTGACTCATAAGTGTCTGAGGCAGGACTTGAACTCAGGTCTTCCTTACTCCAAGTCCAGAACTTTATCTCTCACTGCTTGTAATATCCCTAGCACCAGGCCTGACAGGGCTGTTGTAAGGGTTATACAAAATACTGAGAAGCCATTCCTTCCCTCCTTATTCCTGCAGAGAGATATTCCTTCCTTATTCCTTATATTCTCTCTTATTGCATTCCAAGATCAATCACAGTAGATTACTTTTAGGGCCCTTTCTGCCCCTGAATTCATACCCATTCATTGAATAAACATTTAAAATAATGTGTCCTATATGGAGCACCCACTGTGCCAGGCACACCTCTCTGAGCCTCAGTTTCCTCCTCTATAAAATGAAGGGGTTGAAGTAGATGCTGACCTCTAAGGTTGTTTCCCATTTTGAATCTGATTAATTCACTCAATACTTTTGATTTGGTTTAAGCTTAAAGTCTGTAACCCCCTCAGATCCTTTTCAGACAAATGGCTGGCAAACCCAGCCAGCTCTTCACACCGTACCTTCTCAAAAGCCCCTGGCCAGATCCTCTGGGAGCCATGATTGAGGAGCGTTTGCACTGTCTGGTGGGGTCTGCACTCCCTCTTGAAGGAGGCATTCTGCAGAACACAGGCCATGGGGGAGGTGCCATTGTAGTCAAAAACATTGACCTTGGCTCTGTTCTGGAGCAGCAGCTGGACCAGGGGGTGGCTGGCATTCTTACAGGCTTTGTGGAGGGGACTCTTCTCTTCCTCATCGGTGGCGTTGGCATCTGCACCATGGCGCAGCAGCAGGTGGCACACCTCCAAGTAGGGCTCCTGACCATGGGGCTCCTGGGCTTGGCCACAAGCTACGCTGAGGGGTGTCTCTTCATGTCTGTTCCTAGAGTCCACACTGGCCCCATGTTGTAGGTAAAGGAGAGCATGATCCACAAGGCCATGTTTCGCTGCAATGTGAAGGGGGCTTTCCTGGCCCTCGCTGCTCATTTGGTTTACTCGGGCACCATGCTTCACCAGCATCTGGGCACATCTGTCAAAGAAGGACAGAAACACGGATAGAGGACCAGTACTGGCTGGCCCCTTAGTAATTCCATGCCTGCGGCAGGCATCTGGAACAAGAGAGATCCAGTTATTATTTTTGATAACTCCCAGGAGAATATAAGCTCCCTGAGGGCAGGGACAGTTTCATTTTTGTCTTTGCCTCCCTACTACCTAACACAATGCTTGGTCCCTAGTAGTGCCACATATCACTAATCCTTATGACAAAATCCTGCTGTAACAGTTATCCTATAAAGGATATAAAATACTCCCCCCCAATCCTTCCATACCAGCATTATGTATGAAGTGCCAAAACACTAAAGAACCCACATTTTGTGTTCATATATAAGCAGATAACATAGATGTAGTAATGATAACAGAAACAGCAGCAGTAGCAGCGGCAGTAGTAGTAGTAGTAGTAGTAGTAGTAGTAGTAGTAGTAGTAGTAG